AGGGGTTCATAATGAGTTGACAAAACCGTCTTGCCAGTAAATAACCCTTACCGCCCACGCTTAAATGACAATATTCAGTGCACGGTATGAAAAACTAATCCGCCGATTGTAAAGTTGATGTAATGACACCGCACAGCCATGCACATGCGTAGACGCACAGGAACAATTCAACGAATCGTGACTCACCTCTTCCGAGAATTTACAAGTACATCTCGAAGGACATACCGACCTTGAAGTGAACGACACGTCAACCTTTGTATTGTACCAACGTAGACCTGATTTAGGACAATTACTGCCCGGGCAACGGTATAAATATAGATTTAATGAGTTCTGAGAAGTGGAACGCCTCACTGCATAAATAGAATTCACGTTCCAGTTCGGACACAGTGTTGAACGGCCTTGCCATCGACTGCGATGAGATTCACCTGACGATATTTTCGACTTCCTTATAAATACAAGGTTGGTATACTAATTGTCTTTATAGTTTCGAGTTTAGTTTTCACTTGGTTTATACCATAAATGGAACGCCAATTGAAACTCACTGGTAAGTACTCGCCGCACAGTGTTAGTTGTGTTCTCTGTGACAAAACGCATTCCTTAAATTGCCACATACCATGATTTCACCATGGATCTTCTGTGTCTGGGCGGGTGGTTTGTAAAAGTTGGAAATAATGTAAAAATGAAGTACGACGCCTCGGCGACTTTTCGCATAAATAAAGTGAGTCACTTACTCTAGGGGGTCGCTAATTAGAAAAATTTGCATTATTTATTAGATTTCATAAAATTCACATGTCTATTTAGGTTATGTGTATCAACAGTATATTTTCAAATGACAGTAATAATTCATTTTGAATAATAATGCATTTTGAATGTCGCCCCTCGAAAAAAATGTTGGGGCGTCGCCCCTCAAAAATCAAGCTGTGTCAGCAAATTTGCCCCTTAAAATGCAGGAAATAGCGTTCTAGAGAGTCTAGATTTCAAGATTGTGAAGGGGCATTCTCCCGGACCCCCTAGTAAAGTCGTCTGTAAGCAAGTTTGTATCAGTTTTTTGTAAGTTGAATTTACATGCTTGTGCGTTGTCCCCCAGAAATATTTTAAACAAGTATGTATGGATACCATACTTCGTTGATATTATTTTTATATTATGGATTTGTGTAACACATTTTCTGAATTGTATGAGGACTTGGCGAGCTTTCAAAAGTATTGTTGGATTTCTACAATACAGCCGAGAATCGATATGTGCGGCAAAACCTGAAACTACTGTAGAAAAATAACTGCCTAAAGTGACTACATATTTCTACGGAGTCAGGGTTCACCTTCGGAAACCCCAAACAATTCTATTCAAAGTAATTGTGACACTATTTCCTCGAGTTTGCTCGTCAAATTAAGACACCATAGTTCCAATGAAAGCGCTTAGCAAAAGCGTGTTAACCTCATGTCAGTGTATTCATATTGCGAATGAGATGATTAATTGTTCGAGTTACGGACATCGAGTTACGAACATCGAGTTCTGAAAACATCAACTTAAAAAAATGACCACACCCATATTTCAGAAACCAGAACCAGAATATTTTAGGAGGCAGAACCAGGAGTCAAACAATGAGCATACATGATCACTGTTTGGTTGACCAGATTATTGATGCTCCGCTCGTTCCGCTAGGATTACCCTACAATCACTTACCCGTACAAATATCTGAAGGTAAAAATTTCGGACATATCTCTTTATTATTATAATCAATTGTTTGAGTGTGTGTATTAATTGTTTTATTAGTTTCGCATCCAGTATTCCCCGATTTAAAAATTCAATTATAACGCCAATTTTAACTCGCGATAACCTCTCGCAGCACAGTGTTGAACAATACATATTATTGGCCATTGTCTCAGTGACAGAACGAATCTGTGTGTTTTTGCGCATGCGTCGCAAAAAGCGGAAATAAGGTCAACAATAATGCACCACGTCTGGGTTATTAACCTTAGAGTTGTTAATAATGTATTCTCGGTATGTGTTTCAAATGAGCGTAATATGTGTTTTTATTCACGCTGTGCGTGAGCAAAAAAAATGATTCTTAATAAGAGTGAAGCTATACAGTTCCCAGTGAAATTTGTTTCACGACCCACTGACTCTGACGACTTGGCAACTCGCCAAATGAATGTTGGTATGCTTCAAAGAGAAACAAGCCATTTTAATTTGCCTCTCATGTACTGTTAAACAGATTTCAATGAAACCTTGTACTTAGATGCTCTGAGATAATGCGCAGATCTTATTAGTTTTTGGTTGAAATCTGTGAATATTAATTACCTAATTTGTATATTAATTAACCAATTTTATGCATCTTCACTTTTATCTCGTGTACTATTAAACAAATGTTAATGAAACTGTGTACTTAGATGCTCTGGAATAATGCGCAGATCTGATTTTGGCTGAAATCCGTGCATATTAATTAACAAATAATAATAATAATAATTAATAAATGTTAGCCTTTTCACTTTTTAGCTCCGCTGTCGGTTTTGTCGAGCTGAGCTTATCATATGAGTGATTGTCCGTCGCCGTCGTCCGCATAAACGTTTTACTTTTTCGACTTGAAAACTACTGTCTTATTGCTTTGTTACTTGGTGTATATGTACCTTGGGTATCATGATAATATATTTAATTCTCTAATTTATTTTTGTCATTTTTGGTAAAAATATATATTTTCGACTTTTTGTTGAAAACCACAAGGCCGATTTCTTTGATATTATTATTGATATGGGTACTACATGTAAAACTCTCGAGTTGTTAATTTCGTGATGATTTCCTCAAATCACTAATTTTGATGAATATTTTTGTCATTTTTGCTAAAAAATGATATTTTCGACTTCTTAAAAAACGCAAGTCCAATTGATTTGATATTATACATAAAGGTACTGCAGGTAGACCTCTCAGATTTGTTCATTTCGAGGTGATATCTTCAATTCTCTAATTTCGATGAATATTTTTCTTAAAAAGTGATATTTTTGACTTTTTGTTTAAAACAAGGGAACAGGGGCGCGGTGCCCTCATGCTATGGCCATGCGCCCCTTACCCTGGGGAGAAGATCCTCTGGCAACCATCAAATTTTGATTGAGCAGGGATCACATGTGGCCACAGTCTTCAACTGTGACCTGTCTGATAGTAATTTTGACCCTAAGGAAGCCATAGAATGCTTCATTTTAACTTAGAATTATCAAAACCTCCACACCCTGGTAGGGAGTACCCTATCTCTCCCACTTGGAGGCGCAGCTGAATTGCAGTGCTCCCTCTTGCAGTTGTTTTCTAGAAAAAAAAAACTTTCTCAGATTTATCTGTGATAATATTGTAAATTGTTGTTATTGAAATGTGTATTGCTAACGGCGGAGCTATCTCAGCCGAGAGGCTGCATGTTTTTCATGTACTATTCATATTTTAATGAAATGATTTAAATGAAACTTGATAACTGGATGCTCTAGGATAATACTCAGACCTTAATTATTTACCTAATTTGCATAATAATGAAACTTTGAGGTAATTAGCAGATCTGTTTCGTTTTGGGTTGGAAACTGTGAATATTAATTGTCTAATTTGTTTATTAATTGGCCAATTTTAAGCATCTTCACATTTTCCCTCGTGTTCTATTAAACAGATTTCCATGAAGCATGGAATAATACGCTGCTTTGCATATATAACAGCAACTTTTTCATTTGCATATTTTAGTTGTACTAGTCCTATAATAATTTAGTACTAAGTATTTCCTAAACATGCTTGTTTGAATGCATATTTGTAAGCTAATTAAGGTGTATATAACAAACATAATCGCTTTACAAACTCATGCAAGGTTGCCGGGGAGGGGTATTGGTTTTGATGGTTTTCTTGTTTAATTTATTTAGATGTTGTAATTATATGAGAACATATATTGTGACAGCAAACTCGGCCAAATCAGACTAACAGCAATAACTGTGATTAGCTTTATTAGCTACTGTAAACTAAAGAAGCAGTCTACTCAATATTATTACTCATGTGGCATCAATTTAAAAATAAACTATGTTACACATTTGTATCTAGTCACCGTGAGAGTGCGTTCATTAGATGCTGTTTGATGCAAACTGCTCTTGGTCAGGTATTGTGAAGCACTGAGGTGCGCGTCTACTTACGCGGATCCTGTGGGTGTGTTTATATGTGTGCATGTTAATATGTAGAGTTTGCCAGTACTTATACATGTATATTTTTTTTATTATACTGTATAATTTATTTTATAATTACTTTAATTAGTTAAATCATATACTTGTTACTTTGTTTGTATTACGTTGTGGTTATATTGTTCCCGACTGTTTATTCCCCAGGTTTGATAACAGTGTTTACACTACTAAATTAAGGAATGTTCCAAATTTAACTTTGTCGTGTATTATTTTGTTCTCAATGAATATATTGTGCGTATTATGAGATCTACCTACTCTTCAGTTGAATGTTGGTAAATGTAATGTTTTCAAAGTCCCTCATGTCCGCAATAATTTGCTAATGGCCACCAATAATAACAACGTCAATATTCAAGACAACAAATTAGACATTCTGGGTTACATTATGCAGCTTGAGTAGGGGCCGACAGAAGTGAACAATTTGCTAACTGTTTGTTTATCTCAATTGAGAGAGTAGTTTATGCACAGTTATTCAACTTTTTTTATTTCTATTTGTCGATGCAAGACAAATAAATCGCGATATTCGTTCAGTTTACACATCGTATTCCAATGTAAGTTAAATGATCTGATTTGGATCTAAATTTCAGGGCCTGTTGATAAGGGGGTTGTCCTTGGTAGAAAACAGTAGAGGGGATTGTCCAATCATATGCTAATTATACTAGGGGTGTCATATGCTTATAGTATCACCTGTTTTTCTGTTTATCAATAGTCCAAAGTTATAAAGCAATAACAGGCATGTTTATTGATGTTTTTACTTATTCTTTTTTCTAGTTCAACATGTTTACCATTACCTATCCTTTTTCTAGTTCAACATGTTTACCAGGCCACAGTCACTACTAGGGGAGCCACCAGCGATGACTGAAAGGTTATCAGCAACATCTACGAAACCTAGAGAACATGGGGCTATACCAAAACGCCAGTATTCTCATAGTCGAGGTCGAGCCAAAGGACCACCCAGTCAAGCTACAACAAGGGTCCAAAATGTATCACAAGTGACAACCACCAAAGGGAGCAATCAACAACAAGGAAATGGTGGTAACCATCAAGGTGTAAATGGTAGAAACAATAGTACAAACACAAAGAACCATTTGCAAAAACATCATCCAAGGAAAAACAAGCTAACCTATCAAACACTTGAAATGCTGCTTTTAAAGGACCCGAAGGACATTGTGTTGAAACTATGTGAAAACACAGATCGACTTTGCAGCATGATGAGCGATATTGGAATGTCTAAACAACAATTTCTTCTACTTTTACAAATTTTTGGAAAAGTATTCTCCTGTACTTCAGTCCCACATAATACGATTCACCTCCTGAACACGATAATTACATCAGAGTTTTTCACAAATTGCATATTACGTGAACTCAGTTCGATATACACGAATGTTAGACAAGGGTCCTTAGACAACAGATCCGAAGCTTGTATCAGACATATCTTAATGCTGTTGAGAGCAATTCTACGAGTTATGCCAACTAGATTTTTGGAGATTTGTCCTACCATTGATTTGCTCAATGCAATTGCACATTCTGCAAATGAAATTGGTCTGGATATGGACACTAATATAACGCATGAAGTTCAGGAACTGCAGGAAAACAGAACACAATTGATGGAAGATAAACGAACAGGCCAAGCAGCAACTACATACCATCGACCAGATGACCATCGACATACCCGACAATCAAAGAGACCACCAGAGAATTTTAGATGTATTCCTGCTTTTCCTACGACTGCTGATATTGTAATGAACAACAAGCCATTTTTGCGACCAAACATAGCAGTTGGGGCATTCAAAGATGCAGAACATTACTTGGATGTACAGTTTCGTTTACTGCGAGAAGATTTCATAGCTCCCTTGAGAGAAGGAATTCAAGATTACCTTTATCAGCGAACACTTCCACCAAAACAACGCAGCAGACTAAGTGATGTTCGAGTGTATGAAGAGGTATTTATATTAGGTCCAATCTGTCAGAATCTTGATGGAGTATGTCATACAGTTCAGTTTCACAATGGGTGCCTCAAACGAATTAAATGGCAGAGTAGCAAGCGCCTAATTTATGGATCATTGGTATGTCTTTCTAAAGACAACTTTAATACAGTCATATTTGCCACAGTTGCAAATAGGGACCCTGAAGAACTTGAAAAGGGATTTCTGGATCTGAAATTTCAGTCACTCGATGATATTTTAATGGAGCTTCCCGGTCAGCGCTATCAAATGGTGGAGTCAAATGCCTTTTTTGAGGCATATAGACATGTACTTGAAGGTCTTCAAGAGTTAGACGAAAATTCTTTGCCATTCTGTAAACATCTTGTTCACTGTGAGAAGGAAGTTGAAGTACCACAATACCTTAGAAATGGGTATATAGCCTATGATTTTACACAGTGTATAGGAAATAATGAACATATCAAGACTGCAGATGGCTATGAGAATATTCATATGTTGATGAGTCATGCGCTGTCATTTCAACAAAGAAAACGTGTATCAGTGTTGAATACAAATGCATGGCCAACATCAGAAGCTTTACATCTTGATGAATCTCAGCTGAAAGCATTGAAAACTGCCCTTACTAAAGAACTGGCAATAATTCAAGGGCCGCCTGGTACTGGAAAAACATACATTGGATTACTAATTGTAAAACTGTTACTCAGCAACAGAGATGCATGGTCGAACATGGATGATGAACATGATGATGAACATGATGATGAACATGATGATGAACATGATGACCTGTTAGAGAATGAGTCAACTGCATCGCCAATACTTATCGTCTGTTATACAAATCATGCCCTTGATCAGTTCTTAGAAGGTATCGCAATGTACTTAAATGAGGGAATTGTTAGAGTTGGTAGCAGAAGTAAAAGTGAACTACTCGAAAAATTCATGATCTCCAAATTACGACCAAGGGGAACTGGTAGGCATCTCTATGATGAATTAAATACATGTAAAGAACAAATTGAATCATGGAGTGAAAAACTAATATTTGATCAAACCAACATGGTCTATTTTGAAAATTTGTGCTTTCCAAATCAGCATCTGCACAGTTTTCGACAAGGACAGTCACTAAAACAATGTACAGATGATCAATCTATTCTGAACTTTTGGTTAATTGAGAAAATCTTTCAAATTCCGCAGGTCTCTACAGACACTGATCTCAGTGATGCTAATGACATCTCTGAAAATAAATCAGACATAACAAAGGAATCTAAAACTCATGATGAAACAATTGATTCTAATACAAACACAAAAGCAACAAGTCAGTCTGCTAATGAAGAACCTACAATTAAAATTACGTATGAAGTGGAATATTTGAATGAGCAACGACTTCCAGAACATGTTTGGGAGCAAAAAAAAAATAAGAAGCAGACTAAGATAGGTGGTATTCAATCACTTCATGAACTTTTGAAAGTAATACAAGATATCAATACAAACTCTAGTCCAGAGTTCCAAGTAGACAAGAAAAGTCAAACAAAGCAAAATCAGAAGCAGAAACACCTACTAAATACTCTTATAAATGATACTACACCCATGGATGAAGACCATGCTTTGAACATAGAAGATGTATGGTCCTTAGATTTGAATGATCGATGGCAATTATGTCGGTATTGGTATAATACATGGTATAAAAGTAACTCATGTCGAATAAATCCATTGATACAAAAGTTTGAAGAACTGAGTCTTAGACTAAAGGAACTCCGCCAAGAAGAAGATTTAAAAATTCTTAATAATGCACAGGTAATTGGAATGACAACAACAGGAGCTTCAAAGTATCGAGCACTTCTACAGCATGTATGTCCCAAAATAGTAATTGTTGAGGAAGCCGCTGAAGTTCTTGAGTCTCACATAATAACAACTCTTTCACCTGGATGTCAGCACTTAATTCTTATTGGTGACCATCAACAGCTACGACCGAACCCTACAGTGTACAAATTAGCGAAGGATTATAATTTGGAAATTTCTCTGTTTGAGCGTTTGGTTAGAAATGATTTACATCATGAACAACTATCCCTTCAGCATCGGATGAGACCAGAAATTGCAGAATTGATGAAACACATTTATACCAATTTATCAAATCACGATTCAGTCAAATATTACGAAGACATCCAAGGTGTTAACAAGAATATATTCTTCATAAAACATGACAAAGAAGAGGAATTCATGGAAGAAACACGAAGTCGTTCAAATAGTCATGAAGCTGAATTCATTGTCGCTCTGTGTCGTTACCTCCTACAACAAGGATATAATCCTCCCCAGATAACCATACTCACTATGTATACAGCTCAGTTGTTTGAGTTCAAGAAGCTTATGAAACAGCGAGATTTCTTTGGTGTACGTGTGTGTCCTGTTGACAACTTCCAAGGCGAAGAGAATGACATCATTCTGCTATCATTAGTTCGTAGCAATTTAGCTGGCAATATTGGCTTTTTGAGTATTGCAAACAGAGTTTGTGTAGCCCTTAGTAGGGCACGCAAAGGTTTCTTCTGTATTGGTAATTTCAAGCTACTCGCAGAGAAAAATAAATTATGGAAGCAAATAACTTTGGACTTGGAAACAAATAGCAACATTGGTACATCACTTCAACTGCACTGCCGAAATCATCCCACCTCAAAGATTAATGCTACTTGTGCAATAGACTTTAAAGCCGCGCCTGAAGGAGGATGCAAACTACAATGCAATAAGCGTATGGACTGTGGACATATTTGCAAACGGTTTTGTCACCCAAAAGATCCTGAACACAAGGAAGTTACATGTAGGGCGCCTTGCCTTTCAAGGTGTCCTAACGACCATGCTTGTCCACTTAGATGTTATGAAAAATGTTCAAATTGCATTGTAAAAGTGGAAAAGCTGATTCCCGATTGCCAACATACACAACTTGTGCCTTGCTATCTTGATCCAAACAAATTCAAGTGCAAGGTTCCATGCGATAGGCTTCTGCCTTGTGGCCACATGCGCACTTTGGACTGTTATATTGATGTTGCAACATTCAAATGTCTCGAACAATGCACAAAAATGTGTCCAGAGAAGCACCAATGTCCACTTAAATGCTTCGAAAAATGTGGAGACTGTACAAAACTTGTAAACAAAACTATTCCTCAGTGTGAACATGTTCAGCTCGTCGCCTGTTATTTGGATGCTGGGCTGTTTAAATGCAAGGAGCTATGTGATAGGATTTTACCTTGTTACCATAAGTGCACTTTGGTTTGTCATATTGATGCCAAACAATTCAAATGCCAAGAAAAATGTGACAAGCAGCTCGTCTGTGGCCACAGGTGCACTTTGAAATGTTCGGATTTGTGCCAAGAAAACTGTAATATGTTAGTGGAAAAGATTGTGCCATCGTGTGGTCATACTCAAAAAATGAAATGCTATGAGAACCCCCGTGATATTAAATGTAAGAATCCTTGCAAACAATGTCTACCATGTGGACACAAATGCCCAGAGATATGCTCCGTGAAGTGTCCTAGCAAATGCAATGTCAACATACTACATGACTGGCCATGTTCTCATGTTAAAAAACGTCCATGTTGGCAGACATACTGTTATGAAAAATGCCTAGACGTACTTCATTGTAGTCATGAGTGCCAAGGAACATGTGGAGAATGTATCCAGAATGGATTGCATGCGGATTGCAGGCTGCCATGTACAAAGAAGCTGTCTTGTGGTCACATGTGTCAACGGCAATGTTATGAATTGTGCAACAAAACATGCCTACAAACTGTCAAAAAAACACTAAAGTGTGGACATAGTACCCAAACTGAATGCTACGACAATGAAAACATTTGTCCACATGTATGTGGTGAGATTTTGGTATGCGGACATAAATGTACTGATTTTTGTGGTATATGTAAAGCTGTAGGAAGCCACAACACATGTAGTAGTCAGTGTGGAACAGAGTTGATATGTGGGCACATCTTTATTGGACCGTGCTATGGAGCAGCAAAGACATGTTCTACAAACCATACATATACATGCGAACACAACACAAGAAACAGAGCGTGTATGAAGCCTTGTGCATGGGCGTGTAAACATTACCAGTGCAGAAGAAAATGCCATGAACGTTGTGACAGGCCACCATGTGACCATCCTTGTAAACGACTTTTGAGATGTGGACATGTTTGTGTTGGTATGTGTGGTGAAATATGTCCGATCATTTGTCGAGTGTGCAACAAATTAGAATTACAGCATGCAGCCGAGTTTTTTGGTAAAGTAGACAGAGAAGATTGTTCTTATATTCAACTGCACTGTGGACATGTGTTTGAGGTAACTGACTTAGATCGATGGATGCTGGGAATATCATCAAATGGACTTACCCCTGTAGGACTAAAAACATGTCCTAAATGTAACAAACCAATCATCAATAAACGATACAATAATACTATCAAAGATAACATTGCCGACTTAGATAAAGTGAAGGCGACTATGGGGAGTAGCCATTTCTTGGAATCTGCTATTGAGCAAGTTAATCGAACTCTGGATTCCATAATATCGTCCGAGCACCAAGAGGAGGTGCGTGATAAACTTTATTGTGCTAAAGATTTAAATCAGGTTGCATCAATTGATAGTAAAATAATGTACTACAGACGCCTCGCTATTGCAAGGTTGTACGTTATGCTGGTGTTAACAGAGATAAGAAACGGTGAAGGTGAAGCAGAATCTCCCACAAAAGGTTGGTCACTTGATGACGTGAATGGAAGAGCAGAAACTCTACTCTCTGAAATAAAGTCTACTATGACGTCAATCGCTGAACGAGGAATAGAGAGTACTGTCCTCGACCTGATAACGCAAAGCTGCACATTATACATAATACTGAAATTATATAGGCGACGTTTACCCAAGTCAAATAAGGAATTAATCTTAACCAAATACATTGATTTTAGAGATTTGAAGTTTAAGTTACCGAAGCATGCAAGTGACGCGCTGAAGCACGATTATCCAGAAATTCTACGAACTGTGAACATTCCTTCGAAGCTTGTAAAAATTGACCCCTGTAAATACAATTCACTGGCTATGGGCGAATGGTACAAATGTTCCCAAGGTCATATGACTCAATCTCGGATGTAGTGGAAACGAACGAGGTATGACACCATGTAACGTGTACTCAAATGACATATAACGACACTGTGGTGGACAGTGTGTATTCGTATTGCACAAACATACAATAAATTGTAAACTCGCTGTATGTGTCACATTAGATCCGCGGCGGCTATAGCGCTTGGAATTAATTATATTTTCATCTATACCATTAACTAATCAATCAGTAAAATTATCAACCATATGCGACAGGACAATTTTTCACATTGTCATAGTTCTTAGTACAATTATAATAATGAATATATATCGTATCAGATCATATTTTACTATATCTTATGTAATTATCATTTCCTTTATTTCCATCATCAAGGAACATCCAGTAATTCGACAATATAATGAATATCAGTCTCGTCGTCGTAATATAGTACACATCATGGGAAATGCTGGGGAGATGTCTCAAGCCGGATATGACATACACGGAACACCGAGAAGTTTTAACCCTGGCCGACTGAATGCCCCGCCACGTGGCAGTCATCGGGGAAGGGTATGTGCAATAAACTACTAGTATTTTTCCTTACGAGTGTTACGTAATTGTTCGTTCAATTACGTCATCAAATATTAGACATAATGCGATGTTGTCTGTCCCTACTCGAGGCTAGCTATAGCATGTCACGGTAACAATCCTATTTCAGTAGTATCCCATTTATCCGTTTACTATAAGACCGATACCAGGTTTGTGAAGTATTGTCAACTGGACTTGCAAGTTCGCACCCCGCTACGTCATTTTCAAGACATGAAACTGTATATTGACTCTCGTCATATCTGTAGTGAAAGATTCATAATCGTTGTTCTGTAACCCGAGATATCGTATTAATAATTAACTTGTTTTTCATCAATAGCTTTTAAACCGTCCATATCCAAGGAATTTCACTCAGAGACATGTTTCTCCACCTAGAGCCGGGTCCTATAACAGACAATATCATCATATGTCCAAGTCAGCATATGGCAAACGTGGACCACAAAGAGGGTTTCACTCAACACATGATAATCACCGGGGAAAGGTATATATACATGTATGATAAGACATTTAAGGGCGTTGGTCGTCGCTGTACGACGGCCACCGCTCTTTAATCGCTGGTACCTGTAGTCATTTGATATACCACATTTTGCAGGTAAACCTACCCTTTGATATATGGTGAAATCAGCACACGGATTTAAGATCTATTGTATGCGCATGGTGCTGACCTATTAAACTGCAAATGAGCCGGGGGGAACCAAAACTCAATGGGTAATATATTTGAAATTGCTACTTTAGAGTGCAGTAGCCTATTTATGAACATATATACGGTATATCGTATCAATGGTAATCTTTTCTTTGTCATCAACAGTATGCTGACCATCCGTCTCCAAGCCATGTCAGTCAGCGACCGGCTTCGCCGCCTCCAGCTGGTTCCACGGGCACGCACAGTGCGAATCGTGGCCGAGGAAGACGAGGAAAGTCTGCCACTAGACCTTCTGGTCGTCGGCACCGAGGACGTGCAACTAGGCCTTGAAATTTCAGAGAGAATGTTCAGCGTTTGAAATATTATTCCGTATAGTTATTGTGAGATATAGCACATACTGTTCAAATGATGATATTTATGATTTTAGAAGTAGAATGGGTTAAGATATATATTTTAAATACGGGCTTGATTTTAAATAACTTATGCTATACATCTGTTTGACAATAACAAAACCACAGAATTCGGTGTAAATTTGATGGTTGAAATATTATTCAAGAATGCAACGGGTATTTAAATGTTATATTTTGAGAAAATGAGACTATAATCACGTACTTTTTTTTTATTTTTAGCGACATTATATTTAATGTAGAATACAGCACACAAGTAAAAATATTGTCTTTTTCTTTATTTTTACGTATTTGAAATATCATGATAAAGTAAACCAATTACAAATATGGGGTCATTGTACTCAGTTTGAAAAAAAAAATCTATCAATAATATTCAGTGAAAATAACGTGTTTTGTCTGTTTACCAATGTTTCCCTTCAGGAAGAATGTTATCTCACACTTTTGCTGACAGGTTTCCGTCACCTATGCATCACTGTCATTATAGCTTACTAACACTAGTGTATAGTTTCACGATCAAACAATTAACATACACTAAAGTGACGTCAGCAATATCTTAGAAACAAATCTGGGTAATCACTTTTATTTTATTTTTCGCACTCACTTTTGTTAATAACAGTCATCTAGTAGCCACTTAGTACGTATGGTTGCCCCACCTAGCAAACTTGCAGCGAGTTACATTTAACATCCTAAGTTCTAGACTATATTTTCCAGTACAAGTTCAATATTGAAATGAGAATTATATTTGGACACCAGCAACTCTATGCCGCTTTTGACATTGTCGGTTGTTAGTATCGATTTCATATTTTCAATCTGCATAATCGCATTGCATATCAATTGTAACAGCAACGTAGCAGTATGATTCGATTCCCTAGTTTATTCTATGCGCATTAATAATAATAATAATAATAATAATAATAATAATAATAATAATAATAATTTTATATAGATAAAATAGAGAGGGTTTCACTTTATGATTTGAATGATGTAGTACATTTTCTAACAGGGATTGTGGGACTGTGTTTTTTCAATGTATTTTTGTAATTGCTGTTATATAGTTTAATCATTTACAAAGAATGTCATTATTATAAAATGTAAATTTAAATAATGGTAAGCATTAAAACTTTATAGATGAGATTGTATCGTTGAAAAAAAACCATATTTTTTTCAAAACTGTAGTGTGATATTTCTATTTATTCTTGTTCTTGTTCTTTGTATTATTTCATTTATGTATCTTGTTTTAGAAAAAGCTGAGTTGTTCAGTGTTCAGGAAAGAATGCTTATATTCATGTTTTTAGTCAAATAGTTACAAAGTTCAACCTGTATATAAGGGCAGGGAAAACGCGGGTCTTTACTATTGAAAGTTGTATTCATATATCACATACTCCGTGTCATACAAAATGTAATTACTTTGTAGAATTTGCTTGACAAATATTTTCATGTATAATCACACTATATTTTGTTGACTATTTGTGATGAGTAACGCCCATTTGAATGACTTTATTATAGGCACATTCGATTTAAATGGCCCGGGACGCACTGAGTGATGTCACAGTTGTGATCAGTGGCATTAAAGGGCTCGCGCGGGGGAAGTCATATATGCGAATATGAAAAGAAGTTCACCATAGCGTAATTTTATTCGCTGCGCTGCAAGCGAGACTAATGCAAAATGCAATTTATTTTAAAAAAGACGCAAATTCTGTATCAAAACTCATTTCCAAAACCTGTTTTTACTTACGCGATTTTGTCGTTTTCTCCTTCCCGGGACAACTCAGCAGAGTGGGCGGGGCGGTAATTTGTGACGTCTTATTATTAATCGAATGAATGTAAATGCATTGTAACACCCAATGCCGTCTGGTGTGTTATACTGAATGCCTCCTGTATGTGGCAATATTCGACAATTATATAGATAATTAAGTGTTCTTACAGCAATGTACTGTTTTTCTTAAGATTTAAGTTGTTTCTTATAAATTTGGCAATGTATTAAATCTGACATATTTTCATTGAATCTAATGTTGTAAATGCCGATAAATGCTTATGAAAAATGGGAAATAAAACCTCCAACATATAAAATATGAAAAATTGCAAAACGTCATGGGAATAATACCTACTCCATACTGTAATAACATTGGTTGGTGAAACATTCGTCACTGCACACAATCACTATATTCTGTATACAGAAATAGTGGAATTGTTTAGAGTAGCAGTCATGTAACGTTACGTCTCGGATTCTGAGATAAATCTCTCAGCCAATCAGATTGTTTTAATTTTAGCATATCACAGGCGAGATGTTATTGACCTATCGTACACATTCC